TGATGGCCTAACACAACCCTCCTCCTTTACCCGGGCTTGGGACCGGCTATAAACATAGGCGGAGTTTCTATCAAAAATGACAAAAAGTTAAAAGTTGTTTTGAAAAACTAGAAAACATAAAATCTTTTAGATCTTTTTGTTATGCAAAACTAGAAAAAAAAGGTAGAAAATATCATATTTTTATTAATGATAATTGTGTTAAATAAAACAAATTATTCTTCCATTCTTTAATTCATCAATTAGATATGTTTTTTAAAAACAATAATTTAAACAGAATTTTTTATTGTTTGTTTCTAAAACTGGTTTAAATTGAAGAATTGTTTTAAAAACACGAAAATAGAAAACAAAGTCAACCAACTTAAAGATTCTCATAATTCAGACACGTGGTTGATAATTTAACTTGATGTATGTAGCAATATAATCAAACAAGAACGACGCATTCCTTTAAGTTTTATATTTTTGGGAAGGTAAGTGTAAAGTCATCGTCAAAATGGTTTGTTGACCATATTAAATACATTTAAGTTCTTAAAAATCATGAGATTCAATGATACACCGTAACAAGTACCAGTGTATAAGGTAGTTTTTAATCTCCACAAAGTCATGGTGAACTTAGATCAAGTTCTATATTTTTTTTTTGTCACAGAATAATGGTCACAACTGTGATTATTTTTAACTAAGGATTAAGGTCACCTAAGATGACATGTTATAGACGTGATAATGATAATGTGTGGCTGATGTGTTAATAATATTTTGATAAAGTTATGAATTTTGACTAAAGTTGAATGAAAACATGATCAAAACCTTGACTCAAATTCAAGTTGACTATAATTTTGGGCACTAAAATGTAAAAGCTATATTTTTGTCATCAAACTTTTCATGCCAAATTTACAAGTATTCTAAACTTAATTTCAAGTCATTTTCTCTCCACATGTTTACAAATATGTCCATTTTTGCCCTGCCATTGACGCATCTATAACCAAAATTTTCTACAAAAAATGCACACTTAGCATCCAAGTGGATGTCCAATCAAAATTTAATAAGATTGCTTTTATTTTTGAAGTATTTGCTTTGGGACATTTGGTGTCTTGAATTTGATTTTGGATCATTCTTTCTTCTTAAACATTAACAAAACCTAACTACATGTGTCATGCTGCTCATGTGTCATATAGGAATGTTAATTTGAGTTAGTGGATCTTGTAACATCTTGATCTTTTAATTCAAAAAACTAATTGCTAATTATGAATAAATTAATAATTAGTAAATTAATTAGGGTTTTGGATGATGGATTAATATATGGTGTTGGTTGACTAGTGTATTTGTAGGATCGAGTGGTGGAAAGTCAATTAGGAATTATGTGCACAAGCAGTAATGAAAATTGCCTCACTATGCCACACATCATAATGCATGGCACAAAATTTGCTTAAAGTTGACGTGAATCAACTCATGGCTTAAAGGAAAAGGAGGAAAAGAAACACATAAGAGGGTGAAAAGAGGTTAGCTCTACTAGGGCATCCGTTTTAGGAAGTTTGGGAATTAATTTCGACTAGTAACTTACCGAGTAAGTTTCATATCACTTTGTACTTCATTTCTACCCTAATTTCTTTTAGCTTGGATTATAGAGAAATTAGATTAGGGCATTGTAAGGGGTTAAATTTTGAGAAAAGGTTGAAAAAGAGCTCTTGGTTGTGAAAATAAAATTTTATGACTAGTTTAGGGTTTAATGGTTAAGCTTTAGAAATGTAAGCTCAAATTAACCTAAATGGTTAAGTTAAAGAGGATGAACATGATAACTAAGCAGGTAAGGAGGGTGTTTTTGTTATTTTGATAGCCTAAGGAGGTTTAAGTGTGGTGAATGGGTTAAGTGAATCTAAAGGGTGCTTATAACATTGTTGTATGGGCTAGGTAATGTGGATTAGCCAAATTAATACCTTGTATTGAGCATCAGGAATTGATCAAAGGTATATGATTGTATAGATAAAGCATTCAAGGATTGCTCATAGAAGTCTACATATTTTGAAACAGTCAATGAAACAGTGACCTAATAAGGGTGTGAGGTAATTGGATCAACCATTTTATTTATTAGCCTATAAATTGATTTACAAGTCTTTTATATAAATGTGTGTGTGTGTGTGTGTGTCATGTTTTATAAAATGATAAAGTATCATTTTTATGAAAGGGGTTGCATATGTGTGTGAGGGTAGAGATGCTTGAAATGTTTGTGGTGGCACACATGTATTTGCATCCATGAGTATACCCTAGATTGAGATAAGGGATTACGGCCCTACTTCGTCTAATGCTAGGAAGTTCTGATGGTTCAAACATTAATTTTATCCTCTAGCGGGACTTAAGAATGCATCCATGTATTTCTAGACTATAGTAGGGGTTATGGCCTTCCTCTATGTAAGGCTAAGAAGCCCTGGGGGTTCAAGTGTTGATTTTGATTTACTAGTGGAGACACAGGAAGAGCATAACTGCTTATATGTAATACCCTAGTCTGAGGCAGTTATTGGTGGCCTTGTTTAGCTTAAGGCTGGGAAGTCCTGGTTTGAGCATTGAGTATTCTCTACTAATGGGACTTAGGAGTGCATATTCATAGCAGTTGACTAAGCATTGTATCGTGTATGTGTGTGTGTGTGTGTGTTGATCTTTATTGAAAAATAGTTTTGCTTTATCTCTTGTATTTAATTTTACTTACTAATCAATATTCAAGGTTTATCTAAGTTACTATAACATATGTTTTACTCTGTTACTTCTTGTAAACAGGTGAAGAGAGTTCTCAAAGGCCAGGAAAGGAAGCACGTAAGGAGTAGCTTCATTTTTGGTAGTTGTATAGCTACTTTAGAAAGTGAAATGAATGTATAATTATATTATGTATTATGGTTGCCAACTAGGATGTATATATGTATTCGTTTCATTTTGGTGACTTGCTTGTATAACTGGTATTACATCTTGTTGAAGATATTCCAATGGTGAATATATAGATAGACCTAGATGTCATTCAAGCAAGTTGTAAATGCATCATATTTAACTTGTTCCACTATTATTATATGTAAATTTTTTAGTGTTAATTGTGTATGGTGTGGAACTTGATTTTATGGTGAAGTTCGGCCTCATTTGTATAAGTTAAATTTGTTTGTGAGTCCTTACTATATGTTGAGGCTTGGCCACATATGTGTGAGTCATACATGTAAAAGTAGAACAAGTGTGATGGTGTATATGTGATTGTGTGTAATGCCTCATATAAAACTACAAGTGTGTAAGGTGGTATTGAAATGTCAAATTATACATGAGATATGTTATGCGTGATATAATGTGTCAATCAGGTGTATATGATTATTTTGAACTTAGTTTAAAGCTCAAAATAGTCTAATAAAACAAGATATGGAAATTCAACATTTAAAATGTATGTTTTTGATAGAAAAGTAACTTTTTACACTCGAGTGTCTAAATTGAGATCAGGCCTTTAGATCATGCCCAACCTTATCTTATTAGATAGTTTAGCTTATAAGCTTTCTGTGGCGTTTGAATCATTCTGATTAGATATCCTAAGTGAAAATGGCATGTAGTGAAATTTCATATCAAATTGTTATTAGTGCAGCAAAATTTGATACATACGTTATGGTGGATGGCACAAAGATTGCAAAACTTTATAAATCCCATGCATATATACACGTCACATTCAATTGGATATCTAGTCAAGAAATTTTTAATAGAACAATTCCCCACTCATATCACAAAAAAAAAAAAAAATAAAAAAATTTATCTATGAATACACTTGGCAGGCAGACTGAACTTTATTTTAAAAAAATTGCTCCCCCTCTCTTAATTTTGACGTCTCACTTTCTTTGCATCGCCCCCATCCCAAAATTTAACTCTGATGTAGACAAACACTTGCCTTCCTTGGCAATTACAATAAGTCTCAATTATCAAGTTAGAGGGCAAGTGCTTGTAAAATGTAGACATGGAGAGATTTTTTTTTTTTAAAAAAGAAACTGAGTCAGGCTACTAGGTATATACATAGAGAAATTTTTTCAAAAATTTGAGTTTGACTACCAAGTGTACACATGGAAAATTTTTACAATTTAATTTTTGAATCCGATATGAGAGAGGAATTTTTTTAATTGCTAACAAGGCATTCAATTGGATGATATGCGTACACACACAAACGTAAGACACACTAACTTAAATTAACATTTGTTTGTGGTGCATTAATGGTAGAACACGCATGATTATGATTTTTAACATCTAATAAAGAAATGACTTAATCGAGTTGAAAATATTAGGTGTCCTTAAGTAATATTTTTAAGGCAAAAATGATTTTTTTAACTAACTAGACATCCAATGTGATGTCACATGTACATTTGTTTGTCTAGAAAATTTTGTTTAATGAGCTTGTTAATGTCAATGTAGAAATTAATGGATTTTTAAACGTTTAGAGAGAAAAAATATCGAAAATCAAGTGTAGAACACTCACAAACCTGATGAAAAGTTTGAGAGCAAAAGGAATCCATGCCGTTATAATTTATACATACATACATACATACATACATATATATATTCCCAACGTTTTCCGTCCCCCTCCTTCTATCTTTTTTGATACATGTATCTCTTTTTTATTTCATTTACTTTTTTATAATATGATATCTATTATTTTTAAAAAAATTTAAATCAAAATTATATTATAGATTAAATTTAATAAACATCTCCTAATTAATTTAATTATTTTATTTTTTTGTTTCTATTAACTCTGATTGATTTTTAAATTAAAATTTGGATATTATTGGCTACACTATTCATGGTCCGTCAATTTCCCTCTCTCGACAATTTTATAAATAGTTAATTTAATATTCGTATCTTTCCATCACGTTTTCTGTGTACACTTGTATCACGTATCAAATTTAATTTTATACATAAAAAATATTATTAAACAACAATTATAAGTATTTAATAAATACTATTATTCATGAACAATAAAAAAAATTATTTTCAATTACCAACCGTATCTTAACAGATCAATTTTATTCATTGTAGCCTTATTTATTGGAGAATCCCAAACGGCTACATTTTTTTTTTGATACAAACGGCTATATTTTAATGAGCCATTAATGAGCCATTACAGCACAGCGCGAGTGTGGCCCATCATTCCCATCAACGGTTACAAAAACAAACAAAAAAGCTACAACCACCGCCAAAGACTAAACCCTAAGCCCGAAAACTGTGGCCCATCGATTCCTATCAGCGGTAATAATAATTAGGAAAAAAAAAAAAAAGACTATAACCACCGCCTAAGGCTTTACCCTAAGCCTAAACACAGGCCCCGGGGGGGGGGGGGGGTTTGGGGGAGCTGAACTCCATCGTTCTGTGTTCCTTCCCCGCCAAAGACTATGCCTTAAACCCTATGGCAGGAAAAAGAAAAAACCCTAAACTCCATCATTCTATATTCCTCCAGTTTCCATCTGACTCGCCGCCGCCATATCCTCCACCTCCGTTGCTGTGGTATCCATCCTCGCGGCATCCATCGCCGTTTCTTTATCCGCCTCCACCACGGCTATGCCCGCCACTGCCACTGCCGTACCCGCTGCCGCCTCTTCCACGAGACTGAGCTTTGTTCACCGTAATGTTCCGTCCATCAAGGCTCTGACCGTCCATGCCGTCGATCACTTCCCTCACGGTTCTCAGGAGAACGTCGCGAATCCAAACCCTCTTTACCTTCGGGTCTCGTGATCGTTGATGACCTTCGATTCGATAATGTCGTTGAAAGGAGACAGGCCTTGCCGAGGGCATTGCTGAAGGTTACTCTTCTTCCCGTTGCCTCTCTCACTCTCTCCATAAAAAAGAAGCTCTTCATCTCTCTTCTCCGCCGAGGCCTCAACTCCTCCAAATGCTAGTTGTTTTTTTCCCATACCATTTTCCTCAATCTAGAAATTCTAGTTATATTTCTCGTTTGATTACAGAAATAGGTCATGAATGGGCGAAAACAACAGACCAATGGCGAGGCAGATCGAGGCCAGCCAGACATTGCGTCGCTTCTCCAATATGTTAATGAGGGTATTTTCATGTATCACTTACAACACCCATAACTGATATTATTTCTCTAATATCTGCTGATCTTCTTTTCTTTTAAAGTTTTAAGTGCCAATTTTTACTCTCCGAGTTTAGAACTCCTAGTGAATGTATAATTTGTTATTTTGCTTTAAGAGTGGGATCATCACATATTTGATATTGTTGATTGCTGGCTGGTTTACAGTGGCTGATACTTTATTTCTCAAATTTCTGCTCTCATTTTCCTAGTGTTCTAACATTTTATGATATTCTGTTTCTGTTAGCTATCCATCTTGATTGTTATTCACTACTTCTCTAAGAAGAAAAAATTTCTCAGTCAGAAAATGCTATTATATCCATGAAATTGTTTCTTTGTTTCTCAGCCACATGCTTGATACATTCGTAGACTCTACATAGCTTCCTTTTAATAGATAACCATCACACTACTCTTTTCTATTATGGTGGGGGATTTGAGGACATGTACATATGCCGTATATAGTTCATTGTATTCTTTTTTTTCCCATGTGCTTTCTGTTGATATATTTCTTATATTTTAACGCTTTTTTAAAATATAAGATTTTTTTTTAATCATTGCACTTCCCATTGCTCATCTATATTTTAGGTTTAAACTTGATTTTTTATTTTGCTTAAATGTGTCTTCATAAAATGTTTATTGCTTTATATTTTTCTTGATATCCTTTTCAATTTTTAAATAAGTCGTTATTTATGAATAATGTTAATCGTGTTTTTATAAAAAATGTATTATATTATCAAGCATATATAGTATTTTCTTTAAAAAGTATTTTTTTAATGTGAGACTTGAGGAAATCAGCATACACATACCATGTATATCTTACCTTACTGCATTCATTCAACTTTTTCCCTGTGCTTTTTGTTGATTTTTACCTTAACATTTTAATGGTTTTTTATTGAAATAAAAGGACATCTTTTTAATCATTGCAGTTTCTATTATTTATTTATATTTTTTGTTTAAAATTTTTTTTATTCAGATGAAATATGTCTGTGAAAAGTGTTTAATAATGCTTTATAATTTTCTTGATATCTTTCTCAAATTTTAAACATCATTTGTGAAAAATTTTAATCATATATATATATATATATTCATAAGAAATGCATCATATTATCAAACATTTATAGTATTTCCTTTAAAAAATATATTTTGATGTGGGACTCGAAGAAACCACAATATATAACTTATTGCATTCTATCTCTTTTTTTCCTTGTGTTTGTTATTGGTTTCTTTTCTTATATTTTAAAGCTTTTTTAAATATATAACTCCTTTCATTCTTTATCTTTTTATTCTTGTGCCTTTTGTTATTTTTTCTTCTATTTTAATTTTTTTTAAAATCAAAACATCTTTTTAATCTTTTATATAGTTTAAATGTGTCTTCAACAAGTTCTTAATGTTTTATATTTTTTTTTTGATATCTTTCTCAATTTTTAAATAGAAGTCATCATTTCTTAGTAATCATATATTCATAAAAAATGCATCATATTATAAAAAATTTACAGTATTTTCTCTTTTTATAAAAATATTTTGTTTGTGGGACTTGAATAAATCAGTATGCACTCACACCATTCATTACATTCTTTCTATTTTTTGTGTGTGGCATTTTTGTTGGTTTCTTCCATTATTTAAAGCTTTTTTTAAATATAAACAATCTTTAATATTTGCACTTCCTATTATATAACCATATTTTTCTAAAACTTGAGTTTTTTATTTAGCTTAAATATGTCTTCAAAATGTTCTTACTACATTATATTTTTGTTGATATCTTTGTCAATTTTTAAGTGAAAGTAATCATTTATTGGTACTGTTGATTGCATATTTATAAAAAATGCATCATATTATAAAACATTTATAGTATTTTCTTTGTTAAAAAATCTTTTGATGGGAGACTTGTGAAAATTGCCTTCCATTCATGTCACTTATTGCATTCTTTTTTCTTTTTTTCATTGGGACTTTTGTTGGTTTCCCCCATAATTTTAAAGTTTTTTTAATTACAAACATATCTTTTTAATCTTTGCACTTCCTATTATTTACCATATTTTTTAAATTGAGTTTTTTATTTAGCTTAAATATGTCTTCAAAAAATTCTTAGTAAATTATATTTTTCTAGATATCTTTCTCAATTTTTGAATAAAGGTTATCAATTTTCAGTAATGTTAATCATATATTCATAAAAAATGCCTCATATTATAAAATAATTACAGTATCTTATTTTTCAAAGAATGTTTTTGTGGGACTTCAAACTACCATGCACTCAGACCACTCATTGCATTCTTTCTATTTTATCCAATGCGATTTTTTATTTTGCCACTTCTTTTAAAGCTTTTTTAAATTTAAACACATGTTTTAATCGTTGCACTTCCTTTTATTTATCCATTTTTTTATTAAACTTGATTTTTTATATAGCTTGAATGTGTCTTCAGAAAATGCTTGATCTTTTATATTTTTGTTGATATCTTTCTCAATTTTTTAAATAAAAGTCATCATTTCTTACTAATATTAATCATATATTCTTAAAAATTGCATCATATTATAAAAATTTTACTGTATTTATTTTTTTAAAAATATTTTTGTTGTGGTGGGACTTTAAATCGCCATGCACTCACGCCACTCATTGCATTCTTTCTATATTTTTTCTTGGTTTTTCCCCCTTTTTTTGAAGCATTTCTTAAATATAAACAATTTTTTTAAGCTTTGCACTTTCTATTATTTAACAATTTTTTTAAATATTGTTTTTTATTTAGCTCAAATATATCTTCAAAAGTTCGTCATACATTATATTTTTCTTGACATCTTTCTCAATTTTTAAATAAAAGTCATCATTTCTTAGTGATGTCAATCATATATTCATAAAAAATGCATCATGTTCTAAAACATTTCAGTATTTGTTTTTTTAAAATTATTTTTGATGGAAGACCTGTGGAAACTACCGTGCCCTCACACCACTCGTTGCTTCCTTTCGTTTTTTTTTTTTTCAATTGGGATTTTTGTTGTTTTTCCTTATAATTTGAAAGCTTTTAATCTTTGCCCTTTCTTTTATTTAACTCAAATACGTCTTCAAAAAGTTCTTAATACTTTATATTTTCTTGATATCTTTCTCAATTTTTAAATAAAAGTCATCATTTCTTACTAATGTTAATCATATATTCTTAAAAATTGCATCATATTATAAAAGTTTTACAGTATTTTATCTTGTTAGAAAGTATTTTGTTGTGGTGGGACTTGAATAAATCATTATGTACTCACACGACTCATTTCATTCTTTCTCTATTTTTTTTCCTGTTTTTTCCCATTTTTTGAAGCTTTTCTAAGATATAAACAATTTTTTTTCAGCTTTTCACTTTCAATTATTTAACCATTTTTCCTAAAATTTTTTTCGTCATACATTGTATTCTGCTTCACATCTTTCTCAATGTTTAAATGAAAGTCATCATTTCTTAGTAATGTCAATCATGTATTCATAAAGATTTCATCATATTATAAAACATTCCAGTATTTTTTTATTTTTTTTTTGATGTTGGACTTGTGAAAATCGTCGTGCACTCATCCCACTCGTTGTGTTCTTTCTATATTTTTCTTTGGAATTTTGTTGTTTTTTCCCATTATTTGAAGCTTTTTTTAAAAAAAAATATAACAATCTTTTAATCTTTGCCCTTCTTTTTATTCAACTTAAATATGTCTTCAAAACGTTCTTAATTTATTATTTTTTTTTGTGATATCTTTCTCAATTTTAAATAAAAGTCATCATTTCTTACTAATGTTAATCATATACTCTTAAAAATGCATCATATTATAAAACTTTTACTGTTTTTATTTTTTTTAAAATATTTTTGTTGTGGTGCGACTTGAAATCACCATGCACTCACCACCACTCATTGCATTCTTTCTATATTTTTCTTGATTTTTCCTCCTTTTTGAAGCTTTTCTTAAATATAAACAATTTTAAGCTTTACACTTTCTATTATTTAACCATTTTTTTAAATATTTTTTTTTATTTAGCTCAAATATATCTTCAAAAAGGTTTCTTCATACATTATATTCTTCTTGACATCTTTCTCAATTTTTAATAACAGTCATCATTTCTTACTAATGTTAATCATATATTTTTAAAAATTGCATCATATTATAAACTTTTACTGTATTTTATTTTTTAAAATATTTTTGTTGTGGTGGGACTTGAAATCACCACTCATTGCATTTTTCTATATTTTTCTTGAGATTTTTTTTTGGTTTTTCCCATTTTTTGAAGCTTTTCTGAAATATGAACAATTTTTTAAGCTTTGCACTTCCTATTATTTCACCATTTTTTTTAAATATTTGTTTTTCATTTAGCTCAAATATATCTTCAAAAAGTTGGTCATTCATTATATTCTTCTCGACATCTTTCTCAGTTTTAAATAAAAGTCATCATTTTCGTAGTAATGTTATCGTATATTCATAAAAAAAATGTATCATATTTTAAAACATTTGCAGTATTTGTTTTTTTTAAAATTATTTTTGATGGAAGACCTGTGGAAATTGCCGTGCACTCACACCACTCCTTGCTTCCTTTCGTTTTTTTTTTCAATTGGGATTTTATTGGTTTTTCTTATAATTGAAAGCTTTTTCAATGATAAACGCATCTTTTATTCTTATACTTTGTTTTCCCTAATCATATTTTTTTAAATCTCAAAAAGTTCTTGATACTTTATATTTTCTTGATAGCTTTTCTCATTTTTAAATAAAA